GTAGTAGTACCTCTTCGGGCTCTTGTACACCTTTTTCTTGCTGCTACGTGTGCTTGGTGTGCGTGTTCTTTAGATCCTCAGATGGCTCTAGCACTTTCGTGACCACGGGCCGAGAGTCTTTGCTAGATTTTGGCATTTAGCAACTGGCATACGGTTTAATGTGAAGTCAACAACAACAACGAGGGTGCTACAGACAGAACCCACAGAACTATTCTGTAGGGTAATTGCAGAGGGTGATTACCCCCGGTACAGGTCCGTGAGTACCCTACAGAACACACCCATTTCACTGAGACGCGAGAATTTAACGACGGGAGAGCTAGACGTGTGGATGGACTTTGCAGTCCATAGCGAGTGCGATGGCACCGGCAGATTGGGTACAGCACGCTGTACCTTTTGTTTTTTGGGACATCGTTTGGGTGGACGAAATACCCGCGATGATTCGAAAACCACCATATCGTCGGAAGATTTAAAACCCTTCCTTGACGTATTGTTAGTAGGGGTGACGTCACGGGTAATGGGCGCTGACGGGTTCACGTGAGCATAACTCGGCCTGCACGTCAAATCTCGAGGCCGCAGATGGCGCGATGGGTCCCAAATGTCCGGGATAATAATAGAGTGCAGAAGGAGAGAGCTCCGATTGTAGTAGAGCCTTGTGCCACGAAGAAATGCACACATTTCCAGCTGTCCCTCGAAAGAAGCAAAAAGGGCTGTCTTGATAATTGAACGGGGAAGCCGCCATTACCCAGCTTCGAGCGGCCGTAACTCGGCGTGCAGGACGAATCGCGAACCGGGAGTTGGTGCGCTAAGATAAGCTGAACTCAGCAGAGCACACAGCGGCTTCGATTTGCACTTTGAGTACTCGTGCGTCGAGCTGTCGCTGAAGCTCCCAAAATGGGAAGGTTCCAAAACCGTGGAGGAGGGCCGTCTTGTTACATGAATAGATGACGTCACAGGAGACGGGATGTTCCAGCTTCCGGCGGCCGGAGCTCGGCGCGCACGGCGGATCTCGAGGCGGGAGTTGGTGCGCTGTGCTCGCTGAACTCAGCAGTGCACACAGCAGCCTCGTTGTGTGTCTTAAAGGTTTGTGTGTCGAGCTGTAGGTGAATACTCGGTTTTGTCAAGAGCCTAACTCGGTAAAAATAAAGCGCAAAGCCTGCCACCCTCCCGCTTCTTTTTAATCACCCTCTCTCCGCCGGAAGCAGCCGTGTCAAAAAAACTGTCAACATGCATCTCGATGTCAGTCTTGCAACCGGACCGACAATCCCAAAAAAGAAAAAAGCCTAAAAGGGTACTTCTTATGTGTAATATCTGATCAGATTATTTTTGATCAAGAACCATTTTTTCCAAGTTTTCTGATCAACTCGGGCGATCAGAAACCCACATCATATTTTTTTCGATCAAAAAAGGCGCAAAAATGACACATAAGAAGCCGGATGTGACACCTAGATCATTATTGATCAAAACTAATCTGGCCGAAAATGACACATAATAAGTAGCCTAAACAACGGCACAAAAACAAATAAATAAATGCCACAATGGGGGCGGTCGACAAAAAAAAACCAAATGAAAACAAAAAAATGAGAAACGGGGAGTACACAGCAAGTCCCGCGTACGTGACAACGACAACACAAGCTCTTCTTCTAGTCCGAGATAAATGCACAGAGCGTTTTGCAGGGCGGAAGAGGGGGAGAAACGCTGTAAATGTGACGAGGGGGCGTTTTCGGGCAAGCCTGTTACACAGATCAGGAGACAAAACGCCAGCGGCGTTCGGACCTCGCGATCGATTGTCCATCGATTGCTCCCAGACAGCTCTCTCTGCTAAAATCGCCTCTCCTTGTGCAGTACCCCGTAATTGCTGCATTTCGAGAAGCTCCGCAATCCTGGCGCTTCCAGTCGCATCGTGGGATCATCTTTTACGATGTCGGAACACTTTGAACGCTATACACACATGCTGCATCCCAATTGAAGGCCCCGATGGAGATCTTTGCGCGCGGCGACCTCTCTCTACTGAAAGTCGATTTACCCCGCAAGCAACTCACAGTTTATACCTTTTCAAAAAAATCATCAACCAGAGGAAGCTACGCCGCAATATCTCCTAATGCGGCGTTGATATTCTCGACCACAGCAGTGGTGGGCATCTGCGAGCTCGCTCTATGGTCCCAAAGCTTCCCCACTGTGAAGCCCTCCCGTGCTCCTTCCCGGCTTAATTGGGATGCAAGGTCAGTGTTCTAACGACATCGGCATGTTCGGCTATGAGTACACAAACCCGCACCCCGTAAGCCAGATACATTGTCGGTCGATATCTCATCGAATCGGCTGCACCGATTCTTAACGTGAAGTGCTGTTGGCACCTCTTGCTTTTTGTTCCTGTTGTGTGGTGTTGCTTCGGGGTTAGCCCGATCATTCTTAATCAAGCGAGAGCCCCGGTCGTTTCTCGCCACCCTTGCAAGCGCAAGCAAGCTTACTATCGAAGCAACGGCGAAAAAAAAACTAATCCCGCAATCGAGTTTCATTTCACTCTTGGTCTGGAAGAAAAAACAGAGTTTACTCGATACCACCCCGAACCTTCGTCAAAAACCGAACACAAGTTGACCACCTTCGCACTCAAGCATATCAAGCGATGGTATACGGGAGTGTTGCGCTCGCGGGTGTACAGAGCGCATCTGTGGCACATTTTCACAAGCACATCACCACTGCCGATGCTCCCTCCAAAATCGTGCGGCCTCACTTCCCCTCTCTTCTGCCGGAGAGGAGATTGAAAAAAAAAAAACTGTTAGTCATCGCGACACCGCCAGAAAACAAAAAACAACATCAAAACCGACACCAACATTACTTGGCAAACATGTACTCCTTCAGCGAGACCATGTTTCTCATGGCCATCCTTGAAGCGAAATCCTTCGCGCGAACCTCTCGGGAGTAGAGACCAATGGGGGGTTCCGGAAAATACAGGGCGGGCCGGGAGGGGGGGAAGGGTAGTCAGGTAAACGTGTGCCGTAATTGTCGGTAGCCCGTAGACTCCGCATCCCTGCAATGCCGGAACGAATCGATATGCTGGGTTTTCGGCGGCCTAGGCCACGTAGACCAGAAGCTGTTCATTATCCTTGACTTTGCGGCGGGGTGGTAAACGAAAAATCAACATCACAAACATCTCTACGAGTCCTGCACCACACGCTCTCGGACCTGTCAAAGCCAGCCCTTGAAGATTTCGGCCTTGTCAGTCACGAAAAATTCACACTGCACCAAATCGAACAAAGATCATCCATTAACCAGAAACTGGTGACATGCGACGGGTCCCCAACGCAAGGCGCGTACCACACGAAATCGGCCCCGTCACATCGCACCCCCCATCAACAGTAAAAAAAAAAAAACTCGCCCCCCTGCACCCCGCACCCCAGCTGGGGCCGGGCCAATCTCGCAAGGCATGTCGCACGATATGCCAACTCGTGACTGAGGCCCTCCCCTTCTTTTGTGTACATAACAGGTGCGGTAAAATCACGTGTTGTACATTTGATGTCTCGGACATCCTGCAGAACACATGAAGGGAAAAAAGAAAGAAAAAAGACTCACCCGCAAAACCTTGGCCGTCTGCCCCGGCTTGCACGACACCACCTTCGGCGACAGCGGATGACCGTCTCCAAAACCCTTACCGCAGAACAAGAAGTCACCTGCATCGGCGTTGGATTGCAAGGTAAGGTTAACTAACTCGACCCGAGAGTAGATTTGCGCCGAGTCCTTCATGACATAATCCCCCTACTCAAAGCGGCCTCTCAACTCCGCCAAAAACAAACAAGTCCATGATGAAATTTCGGCACACACAGGGAAGGGGCACGACGTACCTTTCCCCAGCACGCGTTCCATTTCGTGCCGAGGGTGAGCCTTGTAATTGGGCGACCTGCCGTCGCCGTGCCCTCGAGATCCGTGCCCGCCGGCCCCCCTCCAGGACCGGCCGTTCGCCTTGGCGGCTCCCTCGAGGCCGTTCGCCTTGGCGGCTCCCTCGAGGCCGTTCGCCTTGGCGGCTCCCTCGAGGCCGTACTCGGCGGTGATGGAGCCTTCCAACACCAGCAGCACGAACGATCCCTCGTTGTCCACGCCGCCGTCGTCGTTGGAGTCGTCGCCGCCCGCCGCGCTGACGGGGTCCACTGCCGCCGAAGCAGCGGCAGCGGCGGCGGCGGCAGCGTGTGAGTCCTCCGTCGTCGGCTTGCCGCTGCCTCTGTTCGCGGCGGCTGCTCTGCCGTAGGTGGTGACGCTCCGCGACCCGAGGTTGACGATTCCCGATCGGGCGGGCGGCCTACCATCGCCGCCGGAGCTCGCCATCGCCTCCCTCTCCCCAGCCGCCGCATCCGCGCGGCCCTGACTCTGCCCGTCAACCGATGCCTCGGGAGAACAGGACGGGGCCGGCGAAGAAGAAGAAGAAGAGGAAGAGGAAGAAGAGTAAGATCGTGGTGGTAGCGTGAGGCGAAGGGGCCGAGACACGGGCGGCACCGGAATCGGGGGCGGGTTCTTCGGCTCCTTCCTCTTCCAGAGGGGGGGGAGCGGCCCCTGCACCGGCACGACCTTCTTCCACTCCCCGGCCGTCTCCTTGCCGTCCTGGCCCCAGACCACGTCCTCTTTGCCGAAGGTCGCCTCCTCGCCCTGGAAAACCTTGGAGAGTACCGCCTCCGCCAGCTGGGTCAGCCGGACCTCCCGCTGTTAGGGTGTTCAAATTTGGGTGGTCGCGGCGTGACGTGGAAACGCGAAAACGACGGATAAGAGACCCACGAAAGACTTGTAGTGGTGCGACTCACAAGGCTACGGGACGGAAGCGGACACGCGTGCGGCGAGACGCACGGTTTCTCGGTCTTGTCGACCCAGGCCGTTGCGCGAAGGAAGGTATCCAGGAAGCAGCCTCGACGAAAACTGGTTTGGTACGTGTGCGGCGTTTGATGAAAACCATGTCCATGTCGACACATTCCTCCTCGACACACCACACAAAAATATTAGGTAAGCTGTGAGCTGTGTACTAAATACCCAAACAGCTTACACCTTGATCCACGTCCCAGGCCCAGCCGCAATATCACTGCAAAACATTCACGGGCTAGCATAGGAGGTGCGAGGGGGGGGGGGGTACCTAACACCGACAAAACCTACTAGGGCGGCCTTCCAATTCGTCCAAGCCAACAACAATCACCCCCAGCCGCCAGCGCTCGTTCCGTTTCCGTTTCCGTTTCCGTTTCCGGCTCCAGACACCGCCCAAAACAATCAAGCCAATCCACACAAACCTGAAGATCGAGGCTCGTGCGCACGCCCTCAAAGGTATCCGTCAAGAGGTCGAACATGTGCTCCGTCACCATCATCACCTCGCAGCCGCCCCCGCTCGGCTGCCCGACGCACGTGCATGTGGCCAGCCTCGGCGTCGAGAGCTCATCCGGCCGAAGCAGCTCCACCTCGCCAAACGAAGCTCCTGAATTTCGACCATTGTAGGGGATTTCTTTTCGTTATAGTGAGGCCGGCGATACTCCATGCCAAAGTCACATGAAACGTGGCTCCTATTTTTTTACATTTATTGTTTTTGTTCATCGAGGTTGGCAATACATGCCAAAATCATGAGAAACGCGGCTCATTTTTTTCGACCATTTTTGCTTGCTTCTTCAGTGAAGCCGGCGAGAATATATTGCCAAAATCAGTGCGGATCAACCCGACAAAACGGGCGATGGCCACGCCGCACGGCTCGTCACTAAGAGCGGACGCTGCCCGGAAGACGGAGGAGCACCCACACTCCGCGGGATATCACCGTGTTTTAGGAAGAAGGGCTGCATAGATACTGCTGTTGTGAGCGAAAAATCCCTCCACATGCAACAACAAACACCGACCGCAGACGAGAGGAGATAGACCGAGCGCGCACTCGCTCACGACGAAAAAACAAGCACACGACGCTTTCATTCTCACCGGAAGACTGCCGCTGCAGCCCAGCCTGCCCCTGGAGGGAGCGAACCGAGAACTCCACCGTGCCCTTCATCAGCAGGTAGAAGGTGGGGTCCAGCTGCCCTTCCTTGTACAGGGTCTGGCCGGCCTTGATCTTCTTCGGCGGGCACAGCGGCGGCACCGTCTGCACCATCTCCTCGTACGTGATTCGCCGCGACTCAGTCGCGGGGTTTCCGTCGATCGCCCTCATCATGTCGGTGATCTCCGCGCGGGTTAAGTGCTCCCCCATGGCCAGCATAATGTGCTCGAGGTCCCCCCGGGTGATGTACCCCTTCCGCCCGCGGTCGATTATGCCGCACGCCGCCTCGCGGGACCCGATCGCGTACGGCTGGATGCCTACACTCGTCAGCGTCGCGATGAACCGGTCCTCGCTGAGGTCGTCCTCCTCCTGCAGTATCTTCTCCAGGTAGTCCGCGTACATCGCCGCGGCCTTGACGCTGGCCTCCTCCTTCGCCTTCTTCTCCGCGGCTTCGGCGGTGGCGGCGGCCTCCGCCGCCGCAGCAGCCGCCGCCGCCTTCTCCTTGGCCTCCATCTCGGCGGAGAAGGGGGGGTTGCGGGTAGGCGTTGACTGGAACAGCGAGTTCGGCAGCAGCACCGCGGGGATCCCGGCCCCGGCGAGACCCGCCGGCGGCGGCGGCGGCGCCCCCCACTTTATTCCCCTCTCGTCCATCTTCAGGTTGGTCTCCATCATCGTCCGCAGGCCCTCCCCCTCGTTGTAACCCTCCACCTCGGTCTCGACGAGCCCGCACATGAGGGCGAGCATGCAGGCCTTGAGTCTGCGGCGGGCGGACCAGAAATTCTGGAGCGCCTCCGCGTTCGTCGGCGTCGGCTCCCCGTACCGCGGGTGCCTCTCGGTGCGGTGCCGGTGCATGTGGCACCGCGGATTCATCGTGCGGAGGGTACGGTCCCCGCCTCTGAGCGAGGCCAGCTCTAGCCACGGGTGCTGCAGCACCTCCTGCGGCGTCGCCCTAAGCTCCGGGTCTGGCGTCAGCATCTTAAGGATGAGGTCTCTCGCAAGCGGGGACACTCTCGACCTGGCCCCTCCCCCGCCCTCCTCGTCCTCCTCTGCGTCGGGAAACAAGGCCGCCTCGCCGTACCGACCGTCGCACATCCCCAGCACCCGCTTTGCCATTTCCTCGTCGGAGATCGACATGTCCGGGGTGAAGGGGTGCTCTCCCGTGAGGAGCATGAAGAGGACAACTCCCAGCGCCCACACGTCGCCCATCGTGGTCACTACAACGTCCTTCCCGTCCAGCATGCGCCGCAGGCTCTCCGGCGGGTTGTACGCCACGGTCCCTCTGTTTGCGGGCAGAAGACAACAGTTGTTTGTGGTATTGTTTATCAAATGCCTCTCCTGTGTTCAATACTACTGAAATACGTAATGCGGTCCCGGCCCGTGCCCCCCACCAAAAAAAAAGTGGATGTCCATCGTACTATTAATAGCATCGACCGCGCTAACCGGCTGACAAATGCAAAGGTGTCACAGCGGGATTAGTATGTGTGCTGGATAACTAACATAGAGCGCGATACCGGTTGACCAATGATAAGGTGTCAGTCTCCTTCGGGATGAACAACGCGAACACATTTTACAAAAGGTGTGTGTGTTCCATATAGACATCGACCCGGTGACTCATGCAAAAACGTCGAGTGAAAAAGAAAATATTTTGGTTTGGGGACGCCATGAGGGGGCACCCGACTCACCGGAGACACGGTCGGCAATCAAGTGTTGCGCAAGAAACGGGTCGTGCGAAAAGCCAAGCTGCTGTGCAACATCTACAGTACATCTGTGCGTAATGTAGCATTCGTTGGTCACCTTGTGTACATCCCCGATAGGGTGGTGCCTCCCCCTAGAACCATCTCCACGGCTGACCCGAAGTCTCCCAGGCGAATACCTTCCCAGTCCACGTCTCCCGTGCTGCTGTTCGTCAAGAACACGTTCTCGGGCTGCGGGCGGGCGGGTGGGTGGTCGTGTTGTAGCAGTGGTCGAGGCGGTGGGGGCGGCGGCGACAGAACGAAGGGAGGGGGGAAGATAGAGAGAGGTAGGGAGAGAGACAAGAGGAGAGAGAGAGAGACACACACACACACACACAGACTCGGACACCGGCCAGGTCGGTGCCCTCCATTGTTCCTTAACGACTACCAAAAAAATTATCAACACAGACATAAGACCGACAGAGACAAGCAGACAGAGAGACAACACAAGACATGCACAACAAAAAACCATGCCGGACGGGCGCCACCGTCACAATTGTCGTCCACTTCTGCGACCAACAACCCAAACACAACACTAACAACAGACACACAGCAGAGCGGCGGCCTCACCTTGATATCCCCGTGGATGATTCCGTTTAGGTGGATAAAAGCTACAGCCTCCACCAGCGAATTCATAAGCGTCGCAGTGTGGACCTCGTCCGGCGGCCCGCTGTCCACCAGCAAATCGAACAGCTCTCCCCCCCGCGCCAGCTCTTTTTTCGTGTTCCACGTTTTTTTGTTGCATGTGAGAAATCGGTGATAGGGCCAAACAGAAGTTCAGGGAGTCAAGTACAACAGGCGGTGCTGCGGCGACCGCCACAGTTAGTCCTACCAAGGTGAGGCTGTTTGGTTTCTTCCTATCCCCCGCCAATCGATGACGAGGGTTTCGAACACGAAAAAAACGGAGATATGATTATCATGAGATTCGCACGTACTTCGTGAGATACACCCAAACAGGAAGACGAATGCTGTCGCGCCCTCGATAGGCTAACTGAAGCCATCGGAGGACACCATCGAGCCCAGCTGGAAAACAACAAAACCAAACTTGGGCATTGGCAAGATTTCTAGGGAAAGTGCAAGAGCACAGTATGAGTCTCCACTCATCCAGTTGTATGTCCTCTGGGAATGGCAGGGGAGAGTCGGAGATTCTTCAAAGTCACGGGACTCCAAGCAGACCACGTAGGTTCCAAGATTAGGGATGCCTCTCAAGTCTCGGTAAAGCGGTTGGAACAAATCCGGCTGTTCCGCCGCCAGCGTCGGACGCCACCATCTTTATTCCGCACTACTAACTCTCCAGTCTGTTCACCTACGCGGATGAATCTCAGATCAGCATCGCCTTTCTCTTCGGCCTATATACAAGCTGCTCCAATCATCGCCTAGTCTATCTCTGGATCGTCATATCTCTATGCGTATGCATACAGCAGTACATGAGTACAGCAGCAGTATTACCTTTCTTCTTGACGCCGTCTTTCAGCACACATACATACAGGTAGCAGAAATTGACAAAACGACAGGAAGCCGAAGCTGCAGACAAGTGGGTGGGTGTGCAAAGTGAGAAGCACGATGACCAACCACTAGTGTCCCGGCAAATTCCGCATGTACATCGGCAAAAGCCTTGGCAAAAAAAAAGCCGCGCGCCCACTTTTCTCCCGCAAGTCTTGTGCCGTTTGATTTGGACTACACTTCGTTCGTCGTAACCAACCACGCACGCACGTTCAAAGGAGAGCGGACCTCGGATTGGAGGCAGCCCTACGTGAGCAGGGCAACTTAAAAAGCGTTGTATCACAATCCACAAGTACTACTAATAAGCAGAACCCCAGAAAACGTCCGTCCAAACAGCGTCTTTGTGCCATCATCTTTTTCCAGACGAGCAATCCTTCGCCGTGCGGGTCAAAGGCGGAAAGACTTGTAAGGAAAAGAAGACAAGGAAGGTGCATCTTTCTGGTGAACCCTCACCCATGGTCAGGTAATAGTAGTCATCATCTTCGAAGATGTCGTGGAACTGCGTCACGTTGCGATGCTCTCCAGCCAGCTGTTGGTTGTGTGTCGTCGCAGTTGTTATTGTAGGGGTACCATCGTGAGCGTTTCCGGTGTGCCCCCGCCGCCCCAACAATAATCGCACGGAAACGGGCAAGCATGAAATGTGAAGGTGGCGCATGATAGGCAAGAATGGATACCGCCCCAAGGGGAAAGGAAGCACGATTACTCGTGCTACGCGCACACGCAGGGGCAGGCGGGAGGGAGGAATGTAAAACTAACTTCCATCCTACTGCCGAAGAAACGAACGAAATAACTGAAGACGACCACCGCCGCGTTTCTGCATCAACATGCAACGATCAAACAGGGTGTCTCTCTCTCTGTCTCTCTCTGTCTCTGTCTCTCTCTCTCTCTCTCTCTCTCTCTCTCTCTCCCTCCCTCTCTCTGTCTCTCTCCCTCTGTTATTCACGTATTGAACCCTCGTTCCTACCTTGAGCACTTCGACTTCCCAGCAGATCTCGGCGAAGGTAAAGTCGGGGGTCCTCGTCCTGAAGGAAAAGTGTTCACACCCAAGGCCACCAGGAGAAACGGCAGGGTTAACGATCACGACCACGAGCCACGCGAATTTTACCAAGCGCAGCACAAACGCACAGAAAACAACAATGATTGGGGCATCCCCGGTGGAACTCCTGTACACTAGCTTGCTGCTCTTAGCGGCAAAGCGCTTTGACAGCAGGACGTATCCATAGCAAAGACTCCTCCCACGCTGTGAACAGTCCGGCACGCCGAAGCAGCAACACACGCACGTAGCTGTTATGCTGCACAAGCACCGGGACCAGCGCCAGGCCACCCTAAAAAAAAGCTGACATCGAGCGTACAGGCCGACGCGCGAGTAGAACGAACGAGTGTTGCGTTGGATTCATCCCATTATCGATATCATCTCGCCCGTGAGACACGGGGTTTGGACTTGCCAGCAATCGTGAGCAGCACTCCATATCGAACGAACGGCGATCGCTCCTACAGAAAGAGTATCACCCCTCATTGCCGGGGAATGTTGGTACACACCGACATTTTCAATAGGCATCGTGGTTTGAGGACGGGACAACCTTGTACGCAACCCTTCAAAGTAGACTAGCGGTCGATGGGGGTCTTCCATGCCTCGAGTCATGAACCTCAGTGCCCGATGATGTCATGATGTCTCACCTCGGAATGCGCTTGACAGCAACCACCTTTCCAGTTGTCCTGTGCTGGGCTGTGCAAACCGTCCCAAAGCTCCCTGCAGGGCCAACCGAAGGGGAGGCCGGATGGAGCTAAAGCGAGTACCACGTACACTTTCAAAATACCATCACCCCGGTATGCATATCTGTGATTGTGGAAATCATCATGATGTCCTTTGATTTATCTTCTCCAAAGGCAGGCTGGCAGGCAGCCAGGCGCACATGAACCTACGCATACAGCTGTACCTCTGCAGCGCCGAATGTACAAGTCGAGACGGCGTGGAAACCAACAATCATTTCCCAACATCGAGTTACTTTTAGGCAGACTCGTGCATTGCTGGACTCTTTTCTCTCCTCGAGAAAAGCCAGCTAAGGAGTATACTTCTTCCGAAACCAACACCCGACGGTTGCAACAACCGACTGCGTACAACAAACTGATCCAATCCGACAACTGGTCGTGAAAGGGGGGCTAAATTGGCCGCACGGAAGCGGTGTGGTCGTTCAGATGAAGAGATCATTCCAAGCGAGGAATACCTTGTCGCTTGAGCTGCCCCGTAACATGCCGAGTACCGACACCAGCAGAGGATGGTATAGTACTGCTGTAGGTGGCCTGCTGGGTGGATGGTACCGTATGAATAGAGCTACAAGAGCGCTGGGGGCTACATGCAAGATAGATGTATCATACCAGTGCTTTGGTCTAAAGCTGGGTGCCACGCTGGGTGCTACATGGATAGACAAGTAGCGCGAGTGCTTTGTTCTAAACAATATGTATAAAGCTGGGTGCCGTGCGTAGTCTACAATTGCTGTTGAAGCCCGAAGGGTTGGCCTTCCTGTTGATATGCGGCGGGTTTAAGCTCCGCGGATTCACAGTTCGTAGTTCGCTGAACACGCAACAACACGCATGCTACTTGGAGCACAATACTGTTGTGAAGCGTGAAGCCTTTTGCGGATCGAAGACATAGACATGTGCAAAGCACGCATCCCTGCAAATGGCCGTTTCCTTGCCGCAGTGGTCGTGAAGGCATTCCAATTCTAAGCGAGCCCTTGCTGCGGCGGCGGGCAAAAAACACACAACTTGTACGGGCTGAATGCACAGCAGTATAAATAGTAGTAATAGGAGCAGTCAATATTCACGACTTGGAAAATTGCAGTCGAATCGTAGATTCAACAAACCTCCGGCAGGAACAACAGTGGGAACAACCCCTCGGGGGACAACGGGACCACAAAGGTGCCACCTCGTCGGCCACGTTTTGGGGATTCGGTGTTCTGCAACACCCCATGAAACGGGGGGGTATGTCGTACGTATCGGCATTGGTAGATAGCGATTGTTGGTCACCTCGTGCTACACACCGACAACTCACCGCTCCCCAAAGCTTTCCCTGAGCAGAAGTAGACGTCTCCAAACTTCGTCCCTTGTGGGTAATCGCAATCCGCCTCCTTTCCTCCACTACCGGCCGCTACTGCTACCGCAGCTACCGCTGCCGCCGCCGCCGCTGCTCCCCGGAGAGGAGGTGCAAACCCGCGACCGCTTCCCCGCCTTCCTCTTGCTGCCACGCTGCCTTGCCCCGCGAGAGCCTGCAGCTTGGCTTGGGCGAGATGGGACTCTCGAACCCCCCCAGCGTGGCATTCATCCAACGAGAGCGACGACACGCATCCAAGCTGTTGATGCCGTTGAGAGGAGGAGAGCTGCTGCTGCTGCGAGAGCTGACCTCCGCCAAGAAGACGTCGCGGATGATGAGAGCCAACCGATGACGACTTGGCGCCGTTGCTGCCGGCAGCGGTCGCGCCGGGGACGAGCGGGGGTGGTGGTCGATATCCCCGCGTCGAGGGCGACGAGCCGCGTAGGACGGTTCCAAGTCCGCGCTTCATGCTGACGATGGTGTGTGTGCGATTGTAGTGAGATAGCCGCTGCAGGGGAAGCAACATGTAAGGGTCAATTGAGTTCTGGGGGCTCCGCGTGATATCAAGAGGCTCCGTGAATCAATCGTGGGTCTCGCGGGGCTTGTGTTTGTTTCAGGCCCGGACGGAGGGTGCATCGCGTGACCCGCACACACACCATCACCACGGGCGAGCGGGAGAGGCGTCCGTGGGCAGGATGAACGTGCTTCGAGGCGCGAAGAATTATGTGACAGGAGCGCTGGGTTTTTCCTCGGGCGAAACAAGGTATGATGTTCTTGCAGGCCAGCGTGCACGTGTGTGTATTTTGAGTTGAAACATCAAGTGCACCTCTTTTTTGCGCTGGTTTGTTCTGTCGTGCTTGGCATGTCGGGACAGCGGGGAGAGTCAACCAACAAAGACACGCATCACCGTGTGTTGAGCTGCGGTGAGCTTCAGTGAGCTGCGGCGAGCGCCGCGCTGCTCACGACTTGTGTGGGTAGCTCGAGCAACTAGGCACGCTGCTGTGGGTTCTCACACCTACACGGCAACAACATGCACAGCGTATTACCACTCCGCCCCCAAAACAACCTCTTTGGTCACCGGTTTCGTTGCTCTCTGCAGCCCATGTTTGCCGGTCACACGATGGAAGTGGTGCAACAACGAACATCTACAGCAGATGCGGCAAGCCCGTCGCAGCTACAGAGATTTCCGTCTGTATATCCGGCGGCATGGCACGTTGCACTCAACGCATACATTTTGCGGCATGACTATCGTCGAAACTTTCCGGCCTCCGCGCCGCCGCGCCTCCGATGGCGTCTCTCAGTTTGCACACAGCAGAAACTTTTGCATCTCTGATTCGCTCCAGGAGCAGGCTGGTGCGAGTGGGTGCGCCAAACCTAGTTCCGCGTTGCCGCTGCCGGATCTAGGTAGGTGGCGCGGCTTGCGCCCGAACGCCCACCGCGGCCCGGGATTTTGACCACCAAATACGAAGTCGTTTCAAGTCGTTGTCGTTGAAGCGCACACGAGCGAGTGTTGCATTGGGGGCGGGGGTCTTGCGACGAGGGCTCTCTCTCTCGCCCATTGTGTGTGCTTCGTTCCCCCACGAAGATTCAAAACACAGAACATGGCGTTGGCAGAACATGGCGCACGACGGCCTGCAGCGCATTTGGACACGTTTATTCCAAATCCAAGACAGCTAATGTTTTCTGGTTGACGCGGGTGAAGTGGTGGAGTCGTGGCAGGTTTAGTGTCGTTGACGCCAACGCTTCAGTAGCACGTGTCATGTCACCCATGCCAGTGCCGCCCGCGGGCTTGCACACGAAGAGTTGAACAGCCACAGACCAACAATATCCGCGGCCCATTGTTTGTAACAGTAATCAGGTTTGACGACTGACTGCGGAAGGGTTGAAGTTCGCCGACAAATGCTGTTATCTCTCTGCCAAGATAATATCGAGTTGCACACGGGTGGAAAGCCAACGCCGGTTCCGCACGAGGATTCCACCCTACAGCTGGGCGAGGCTCGCAAGCGAAGCGGCACTTCGACGTACACTGCATGATACACGTATCGCACAAACAAAATACGGTGCCACCCAATTGAAGCATATCTCCTACGAACTTGGAAGTTGTTCGCACATGCGAGACGGGGAGGATAACGATTGTTCCGCGAGGAGGCCCTTGCGCGATTAGCATCCGCCGCATCCGGGTCGCTCGTAGCGCTAGAGACCGTCGTTTTCGAGCCTTCTCGGTCCCTCGGTCCCTCGGGCTCCGCTCGGCCCTCTCGAACCGATTCCTACGTCACCGTATACCGAGTCTATGAGATCTACCACCGCTCCATCGCGTCGGTGCAGAGCTTGAACAACGAGAGCGCTTCGGGTCTTAAAAGCCTGCGACAGCCGACCGCTCCGTTCGCGAGCGCTGCATTGCGCGCGAGGAAAAATCCTACGATAAAATCCGATCAGCGTAGTTTTTTCTACAGATCCATGGGACGAATGGCGATGGTGCGAAGTGTTTTGTGTTTTTCAGCCCTTGCTTTCTCGCTGCTTGTGCGTGGGCACACACGCTTGTAGGTGAGCAAAGCACATAGGGGCACGACCCACATCGACATTGACAGCGATGGCCACGAAGTTTGGTTTTAGGGACTGCTCGACGATTATACAGAAGTTCCGTCTCTTTGGAAACTTGTCCCACGCTAGCAATAATGACGAATTTTCGCGGATTTGACTTCTTTGGAGACTTTCTCGCTGCAGGATTGGAGTGACGTACACGTATGGACACCGCGTTACTCTCGTGCGCATGGATGATGATGTGCCATATGCATGCCAACCTTATGGTTAAAGGAAATGTGGGTGGGTGCAAAACCATGGTGTTTTTGTCATTCTACGATGAGAGAGACAGAACCCCCACACGGCGGGCACGTGCGCTCGTAAAATGTGTTGTACCTGGGTGGAGGCAGCAGCTGGGCTGTATGTTGCTGCCGCTGTGCATGCTGCATTTGTTTGATGGCCTCTCCCGCCACTTCTATTCTACTGCCAAGAAAAACGGGGTTGCTTGCTGAGGACACTCACCCCCTATCCCAAACTTGTTCGTCTTATAGGGTGTCTCCTGTACGAATGACATCGTGCCAATTGTGTGCGTGCGCGCCAACCCGTGGCCCAACAAATACGTTAAAGCGCTATCGTCTCACTCAAGTCTGCACACATATATTTCCCTATGGCACAGCCATCGAATCTGCATCATTCTTCTTCGCTTCCGCTTGTGCATTAATCCCAGTGTGGATATGTATTAAGCTGAGTGGGCGGTGAGCGCGAGCGCTCCGGCCGGGCAGCCCCTTCAAGCTCGCATTTATCCGTTCCGTCCCCGTCAAGCCGCAAACAACGTGCACCCTATCCGGCCCACCCTTTTCTTACACGCCCCCTTCCCCCCCGCTACCCCGTGCCTGGGCTTCTGCCTACCTTGAATCACAGCGGTGCCCTGGACATCATGGTGGTTCAGCATGAGGACGGTGTTATGTCTTGCACCCCGTTTCACGTCCGGTTTGCCAAGGTGCGACCGGGCAGCGATCGATACTTGTGTGATACGTCTTGTTGGCTCTTGAGAACGAGTGGGATGGCGTGCATCCTACTGCTGTGTTGCCAGACAAGAGAGCGCCGCCCACTCTCCGGTTTGGGAAAGGACGCCCCGTCTTCTTCTGCAGGCACGCGCTGCGTCCGCCTTAGCGGCGAACGATTGCCACCGCTGAGCCGTCCGCGGCTGATGGTGACGGAGGCGCGACTGCCCTCGTCTATTTCCACCGGCAGCAGCAACGCGCACTATGTAGTGGTGCCTTCACAACAACACGCGCCGGCTGGTTCGTTGGTACCATTGGTCGGCAGTTCACCTAGGTTTTCGTTCAGTACGGTCCCCTGGTTGATCGTTCATTTGTTAATTTCACGCCCACCCCGCCCCCGCCCCCCCACACACTGCGTGATATGTCTACGTCACCGCTGTCCATGTTGTTGTACATGTGTTGGAAGGTACACATAACGAGCTCAAGGGAACGCGTGATCCAGCTGCGGGTCAACGGACGTGTAGTTCCGCTGTGCATGAAGGTAAGGTAAACTACGTGCCGAGGTGCGGTGTCAGCAACGCCTGGTTTCCCCACCACCACATGATATTTTTTGTAGTTGGTTCCCCCTCCCCGTGGCGCAAGCGCGCTTTGCACTCCGTTCCTATTGTGTGACACTGAGAGGGGTGGATGGAAACCCCCGTATTGCCTTCGTCAGGCGGCACGAGCGGCAGGCTTACGGTGCTCGTTTTTTGGTCGGTGAGAGAGGTTTGGCTCTCGCCTCTCAAGCTTCTGAATCCGTCGGTGCCCGTCTCTTTTACTTGTCGTCTTTTGTGTGTGTGTGTTGTTGTTTTTTTGTCCGCCGGACACGAATCGTGTGTCAGCTCGGCGCGGCGGGAGAGGCGTTCTTCGTGGAGCGGGTCCACAACCCCCTCCGGAGAGACCTGGCGACGTCGCCGCTGGCCTCCCCCCTGCCCGAAGGGCGGATCGACGCGGAGGCAGCGGACAATAACGACGGCGGCGGCGGCGGCGGCGGCGGGCAGTGGGATGAGGATTCCGGTGCTCAGGATAATTGGGAATCGTGAGTTGCATCCATCGATTTTTGTTGAGCCTTGTTCGCTTTCACGGCGTTCTTATGTGGTGTCCATGATCGACTCCAAAACACAGAGGCGTTGGAGCAATGACGTCTGGCGAATCCGAGAGAAGGTCATGCTTGCTGGTTGAGGCGGTCGTCGTCGTGTACACCATGGGACGCGAAAGTGACGCATGCACTACCGTCGCTGCTCAGTTCTGTTTTGCAACGCCTTTACGGTGTGGCTGTGGCTCTACCGACTCGAAAAGCAAATCTTAATGTTTTGAACGCCTGAGAGGCACGTTGTGGTTTGGGTGTTGGACGACATGGCACCCTTGTCTTGTCTTGTCTTGCGTAGGCCATGGTCGAGATTCGACATTCTTGTAGTGGTGGTTTCCCGCGCGCTTCTTCCTCACTTGCACACGGGAGCACGGGATTCCCGCCTCTCTCTCCCTGTATCATCACACCCAACAAACGTCTATAGCCGTTTACCCTCACCCCCTACTTCATCCACCCCTGCGATTGATTCCCGGCTTCTTCGGTGTCGTCGCCTGCGCCCCCCCCCCCCCCCCCCCCCCCCCCCCCCCCCCCCCCCCCCCCCCCCCCCCCCCCCCCCCNAATTTTCCGGTCGTCCGTGAGTGAAGCCGGGTGCTCCGGAACTACCAGCTGCTGAGCGACCTGTCGAGCGACGACGAAGCGGCTTCCTATCGCGAATCGGTCGGGGGCGGCGCGGTGCCCCCCCCGTCTTCCTCCGCCCAGGCGTCCCATCTTCGGGAAGGAGGCTCATCGCGGTCCCGGTCGCCACGGCAGACACCGTCGGCGTCATCGTCGTCGCCTCCGCCGCCGCTGGTGCGCGGGATGCCGCCCTCGATGGCG